GGCCGTGAGCAGCAGCCCCTAGAGGAGGCCGTGAGCAGCAGCCCCTAGAGGAGGCCGTGAGCAGCAGCCCCTAGAGGAGGCTCTGAGCAGTAGCTACCAGGTCAGGGAGCATCTCAGCCCAGACCACCTCATAGATCCTACCCAAAGGCAACAGCAACCTGTCGCAATTGTTTGAACCAGTGCAGAAGGCCCTCTGTTCACACACAGGCCTTCTCCTCTGCTGAACCAGACTCACCCTGTACATGGCCAAGCCTCCCAGACTCTTAAGTCATCCCTTAGGCTCCATCAGACACCGCTCATCTTGAAACCCAGAAGCCCACCCGGAAGCCTCCCCGGTCCCACTTCATAGCATAAGCAAGCAGGGTAGGCGTGCAGGTGCGGGGAGGCAGCGCTCACACGAGCACGAATGTGGATCCTGGCGTGGGAGCACAGGGAGCTAGCCCAGACCACCTGGCACAACCAGCTGGAAGGACGGCAGAGGATAAACGCACTGGCTAGAACCAGAACAGGGAGGAGGCTGGACGCGGAAGGCATCGAAAGTTTCACGCTGGTGAGTGGCTGGTTTGCTCTCAGTGGCCAGGACAGAACCGGGAAAAGAGGCGGACAGAAACACGTACAGGGCAACCCAGGCTCGCAGGCAGGGGCCACAGGTCCACGGGAGACACACAGCACAAACGACAGTGAAAGCAGGAAAACAGGAGACAAAAGGAGAGAGAGAGAACACCACGAGAGACAAAGAGAAGGGAAGGAGAAAGAGTGAAGGCCACAGAGCAGGCAAAAAGCGTCAACAAGAAGAGATTCAGGAGACAGAAAAAGGCAGAGAGAGAAAACAGCAGAAGCAACAGGAGGAAACCGGAACAGAGAAGCAGGGGTGAGGAAGAGGCAGAGGGAGAGCGGTGGGGGGGCATGGGCGGTGAGAGAGACAGCACTAATCACCAAAGAGACAGAGGAGAGGGGCAGGGAGAGGAAGAGGGAGAGGGTGAGCCATGAGAGGAGGCAGCAGTACTCACCAAAGAGACAGAGGAGAGGGGCAGGGATGAGGGAGAGGGAGAGGGTGAGCCCTGAGAGGAGGCAGCAGTACTCACCGAAGAGACAGAGGAGAGGGGCAGGGATGAGGGAGAGGGAGAGGGTGAGCCCTGAGAGGAGGCAGCAGTACTCACCGAAGAGACAGAGGAGAGGGGCAGGGATGAGGGAGAGGGAGAGGGTGAGCCGTGAGAGGAGGCAGCAGTACTCACCAAAGAGACAGAGGAGAGGGGCAGGGAGAGGGGCAGGGAGAGGGTGAGCCCTGAGAGGAGGCAGCAGTACTCACCGAAGAGACAGGAGGAGGAGCCGGGAGGGACAGCTCTCCTCACCAGCATGCTTTGTTTCAGAAAAGCAGCAAACTGTGCTGGAAGGAATCAGAAAGAACCAGAGAATCACAGGCAGCCAGAGAGCGAGTGGGAACAGGAGTGGGAATACGGAGAAGACACAGCAAAGGGCCAGCACAGAGGTCAAGAACAGAGCTCCTTCTAGAGTCACTGCACGGGTCTGAAACCTGACGCTCTGTGGGGAAGACAGTCCCAGGTACCCAGCTCATGGGACTGTTGCCAAGACTCAACGAGATAAAGCAAGTCAAATGCCCGGGGGTGGGGCACACAGTAAGGGCTCCCCCCATAGATGCAAGCTATCATCGTGCCCCTGCCCATCAACTCCACAGTCAGGGTTCCATGGCTGCTGCTCTCCTCCACAACCCTGAGCCCCATCTGGACGCCCAGCTCACCAGCCAGCCTTCTAGATCCTCAGATCCTCGACGGCTCAGCCCCTCCAGAAGCACAGCAGACCCCTCACTCACTGTCCCCATCACCACCCACCCAGAACCTGTATCTGGTCACTGCCAAGAAGATGCAGGTTGCAGAGCACCCACATGGACCCCCGGGGCCTGGCCTCTTTTCTCCCTTCAGCCAAGCACTCAGGCTTCTGCCCCTTATTAGCACCACGCTCAGAGGTCATCCCGAGAGGCCTAGCTTTAAGTTCTGATCCTCTCGCTTCAGTAAAAGACGCAAAGTGGGAGCGAGCAGACCACCTCCTGTCACCCCCCACGCCTCTGTGTTCAACAGCCAGTCTTGCTGGGCACTGCCATCCCCAGAGAACGTCACGTGGGGTGTGTTCCTGGATACATCACCCAAAGCCATGCCCCAAGGCCTCACCTCAGCCTGCCCAGCTGGATCAAGGCAGGGGAGCAGAGCCACTGCCTGCTTCCTTTTCTCTCCCTACCCACCCGAACCCTCCCTTCTCTACAGCTTCTTATGCAGCTCCTGCTGCTCTCAAAGCTTCAATTTCAACCACACGAATACTGCCCAGCCTAATCCAGAGACCCCTGATGAACTCTGCTAAAGGTCCCGGTGGGGGAATCTTAATGCTTCGAGGATAAAACAAAGAAAGGACACGATGCCAGCTGAGCTGCCCTGGAATCTGAGGAACAAGGTCCATCTCGCTGCACACGTGAGCTGAGAGTCCTGCCCTGCAGGAGTGCTGGGCAGCGCCTGGGACAGAAGATGCAGCTTCCCCGGCTGGCCAACACACACTTCGTCAGTTCACAAACCTAACTTCCCAAGACTACACAGTCCACTAACGCACGGCCCCTCTGCTGACTTTTTACCCTGGAAAGCGGCCTTGGTATTCACTTCAACCTGATTTTGCCTGGATGGAAGTGTTGGGAAGGGTACCTCTCACACCCTCCTGGGAAGAGCTTTGGACACCAGTATTTTCCAACCGCCTCACAGCATTCACAGCAGCAGACAGAAGCCAAGAGACCACAGGGCCAGGGGCCTACCTTGGGCTTGTCTGTGGGTCAGCACAGCTTCTGTCCGCTGCATGTGTCTCTTGAGCAACTGAGAGCTCCCCACCTGGCTGGACTTCTGGGCAGAGGTCACTGGGGTCACTTTGGTCTTGGGGCTGGAGGTGGGGCTGCTGGACACACTGGAGAGATCCTGAGTGGGATGAGAAGGACAAGCATACTGTTTGGATCCGGCCATCAGTCAGCACGTCGCCCTGGAATTCCCTGGCCGGGAATTCTCCTCCTAGGAACTCACAGACCTACGGCGTGGACAAGGCAGACAGGCGGATCCAGGGAACTAAGACACCAACCCCCACGTCCTGATTCCCCAGCAAAAACGCTCCTCCCTCCAGCACGCTACCTCCGAGCCCGAGGGTGAGGCGGGCAGCTTGGCAGCTGGGGACGCAGGTCGACTGCCCCGCTCAGGGGCTTCAAAGGCCAGGTCTCTGCGGGCTGCGTCACGGGGTTTCTTCTTCTTCTCCGCATCCTGATCCCGGGGCTCGGAGCCCACGTGCCCTTCAGCACGGGTAAGTACTCCAGTCAGAAAGTCCACTATCTCGTCCTGGTGTAAAGAGGAGCCGAGGCTCTATCACTCCTAGTCTGGAAAGTAAGAACCTCCCAGCCATTTTCAAAGTAAACTTAATTTCATCTCGGCTTTGGCGGCCAGGTGTGCGGGCCCTCTGCTCTCAGACAAAGCCTGGCACAATCGACAGCCTCTGAAGGACTGCTAGGCGGTGCCTGTGGACTGATGCTCTCCACGAGGGGTACCCCACATCAGGGGTGGCCTCACTCTGCCGCTCCCCTCTGTGAGCCCCTTCTCCCGCCACCCCCAACGCTTCCCTCGCCTCTCAAGCGCATCACTCGCCTTCTCTTTTTCCTCCCCTTTTTCCGTTTCTTTGTTATGATTTAGGCCCATCAGAGGCCCCGGTGGATAACCTCTCACCCTTCAGAGCTGAAGAGGCTGCTGCCAACAAGACCAAACCTGAAAGGCTGCAGAAAGGCAAGCCCTGCTGAGCAAAACGCATAAAGCGATGGTTTACCTGAATACACCTGTCCACCATGCTCTGAGTCAACCCTTCTGATTTCTTCTTTGCTTTGCTTATTCTAGAAGACAAAGGAGGCAGTGGTCACCTTCTGACTATCTCACGGCGTCGCGTGGAAACGAGAATGGACTTTTCCTCTGGGTTGGTTATCTTTCTAGGTCCGTGAAGGAGGACTCTGTTGGCCCTCAGGCAGGTTACTTAACCTCTCTGAACCTCAGCTGCAACATCGACAAAACGGGAAATCATAATACCTCCCAAGTACGGAGCCTAGGACCTGCACATTCCAACACGCCTGCAGGAACAGAGCAACTCTATGCGGACTGCTGAGCCCTCACCTAGAGGTCCCCCAACACAGGCCGCAACATCACACAAACACATCTCACAATGCAGCTCACAGTGACAGCACTGCCACCTCCCCCGCTCCCTCACGGCAACTCAGCACACTCTATCTGTCCTCAGGTAGGTAAGAATGAAAACAGCCTATTTACATGAAGATATTGCCTTCGGCATCAAAGGATTAGACACTAAATCCACAAGAACTGACCGAAGGCCAGAAGGGCTTCTCCAAAACGCTCCCGAGCGTGAAGCGGGCCCGACAGCTGGGACCTTCTGGCTCGCTAGCTAAAGCACACAACTGAAATTAATCTCTGAGTTTCAGCGCGTAAAAAGAAGGCGGCCCACGGGCAGCTTCTGTACGGAGGTGAGATAAGAAGGCAGAGAGGGTTAGGAGCTGGTTGAATGGACATGGGGAATTAGGGGTGGAAAGGGGGAGGGTGCTGTCATAGTATAGGAAGAACAGTTAGGGTCACATAACAATGTAGGTATAAATTTTTGTGTAAGAGACTAACTACCACAATAAACAAACAAACAAAAAGAGCAAAAAAAAAGGCGGCCCAATGAAGGACAAGGTCTATTTCAGTCCATTTCTTGAAAACGTACCTAAAAGCCCTAAACACAGTCCACTCCTGTAAGCTACGCATGGCTGTCTCAGTGACCAAAGACACCTTCTTAAAACCCCTTCAACATACATACAATGGCACGCTACTCAGCCAGAAAGAGAAGTGTCGCCTTGCTACAATATGAATGGCGCTTGAAGACATTATGCTGAGTGAAAGTAGTCACTCATAAAAGGACAACTGTGTACGACCTCACTTATATAAACAGACAACAGCAGCCAAATGCATAGAGACCGAAGTTTATTAGGGGTTACCGGGGTGGCGGTGGGGGGGTTACTGCTCACGGAGCACTGAATTTTCGGTTTATGGCGATGGAGAAATGGCACCGATTAAGGGTAGGGTGGCACAGCAATTAACGTAACTGCTGTCAATAAGCTGTACACCTGTAAAAAGTTGAAGTGGCAAAAACTGTGTGATAGAACAACAAAACAAACAAAAAAGAGTAGCTTCGGAGGCTGCTTACGTACAACCAAACATTTCATGGGATTTGGTTCCTTGGTTCGAAGGTTTAGGGTCTTGGTTTCAGTGGACATCCCGGTTAATCAGTCTGTTTAGTGATTCTTTTCTACCCCCTTGTTCGTTGTGTAGTGGCTGGGGCCCTAAAAGCTTCCAGGTGGCCGTCCAAGGTATAACAACTGGTTTCTATTAGCCGGGAGCAACAGAGGAAGGAGAGTCAGGAATAGAGGAGGAAATGGAATGTGTGGCTAATTGCTTCCGTGAACAACAACTGTCTCCCTTGCCATGAGACCAGAAAAACCAGATGATGTCTGGCTACCAGTACTGAGCATTTTGATCAAAGACTCTATAGAAGAATACTGATCAAAAGGGGAAAATGCAGAACAGAATTCCAAATTCTCATGTAATGCAGATGTTCTGGAGCCACTGAGGCTGGATGAACCTCTGAACTATTGCCCTGGGATAATCTTTAAACCTTAAACCAAAAATATCCCCTGAAATCTTCTTAAAACCAAAAAACAGTTTAGCTTAACTGGTAAAGAATGTCTGCCTTGAACCCATGGGATCAAACTGACAACAGCAACCTGTAAGATTAGATAGGAAACTTGGGGGGCAGTGAGTTTATGTGAATCGGGGAGGAACAACTCAGAAAAGAAGGGTGAGAACAGCTGCACAACTGGAAGAATGTAAAATCCATGTCACTGAACTGTACATGCAGAAATTGTGGAGCTGCTGGATGTTCTGCTGTGTATATTCTCAACAACAACAAACCGTTAAAAAAATAACTAAGATCATGTTTTTTTTTTTTAAAAAAAAAACTTTCAAACTTTGGCTGTGTTTATACTCCAAGATACATAAAATGATACTGAATCAAATCAAATCTATGTTCATGTTCATCCTCAGTAAGGAATAAAAATCAAGAGGAAAAAAAGGCCTACCTCAGTGAAAGAATGATGGGGAAGAGGGTATTTACAAAGTCTCAAAGTATCTTCTCCCCACAAGATAATTACTGATTACAAAGGGAAAAGTAGTACCTTCCACAGGAAAAACATGACAGACAGCACTCTAACAAAGTGACCGTGGTTAACACCCCCCGTGGTGAGACACCACACCATCACGCCCCCCATGTGCTGTGCTGAGAAGAGACGTCACCTCTGCCGCTCGCCTGCCAAAGATGCACATCCTCAACCTGATCCTGACGAGATGCCACGAAACCTAAACTCACTGGCCTCCAAAAATGTCTTCAAACTGGTTTTCAAAAATGTCGAGGTCATAAAAGACAAAAAAGACTTGAGCAACTGTTCCAGGTCAGAGGAGACTGAGGAAACACAGCAACTAAACGTGTGTGCATGGATTTAATTCAGAACCAGAAGGATATTAACGAGACAAGTGATGAAATCTGAGTCCGTACATTAGACAACAGTATAGCATCAATGTTAATATCCTCGTTTTGATAATTACCCTGTATCTATGGAGGATGTTAAAATGTGGGAAATACAACTGAAGAATATATGGGAATTTTCTGAATGATTTTTGCAACTTTTGGTAAGTCTGAAATTATTTAAAAATGTAAACAAACAAAAAAAAATTACATGCCCACTTTTCACTGAAGCAGACTGGTCTATAGTCACATCCCGCCTACAGGCAGTGCAGCTCTCCTGCAGCTCTGGGAGAAGTGACCCACCTGAGGTTATCATCAGCTCCCCCGACCACCACCAGGCTGTTCTCAGCCCGGATCTTCTCCCGGAAGTCCTCCATGGCTTCCGGGTGGCACTGCAGGGAATTCTGACCAATGACAAAGAGGACTGGAGTCTTCATATCCAAGAGGGGATCATCCACATCCTAAAACAGGTGCAGGTTTTAGAATCGGCCAGTGGACATTCACTCAGCACTGACCTGGAAACTCCACCAGGAGAGTTCCTGTGTGACTGTGGTCTGGATGGACACCAGGGTCGGGGAGGCCTGCACTCCCTCACTCTCACCTGCCAACCACCAAGCCAGGAGCTTCCCGCGTTCTTACCCCTCTGGGGCCATCCACGGTCAGCAGAGGGAACCCAAGGCAGACAACCGCAGTGATGTACTCCATTACTGACACCTGTAAACAAGAGCACACTCTGTCTAAAGGTCAATTGACTGACGGCAGCTACAGCCTACCCAGAACCCAGGAGTGGGCCAGCCTATTGGCCAGTCCATCTCCTGCAGCTACAGCCCACCCAAAACCCAGGAGTGGGCCAGCCTACTGGCCAGTCCATCTCCTGCAGCTACAGCCCACCCAAAACCCAGGAGTGGGCCAGCCTATTGGCCAGTCCATCTCCTGCAGCTACAGCCCACCCAAAACCCAGGGGTGGGCCAGCTATTGGCCAGTCCATCTCCGACTCTCCTGTGCTAATTCCCAGGTGCATCAGCCATGGCAGCAGCAGTTAAGGGCAAGGGACACAGGTGCACCATTCCATATGCAGCCCCCACCTACAGAATCAGGCCCTGAGAAGCCCCCAGCAGAAGGCTGAGCCTTAGGACAGGAAGCTCAATACTTCCGCCCTGTCAATCCCCTAGACCACACCTAGAGTCTCCCGCTCACTTTTTCTCCACCAGCAGCAAACAACCAGAAGAGCACAAATGGCACCCTCGCGTGAAGAAATCCAAGCTTCCTCAAACCCCTAAGAGCAGCCGCTGACTGAGCACCGCCATCCCTAGGACCAGGGAGTGGGGGAAATAGCCTTCTGCCTCTAGCAGCCCGACACTACACCTGATTAAGGAACAGCATTACCCATCAAGCAGGACAAATGCCACTTTATCCACTTGAGAATTGGAGTTTTGGACATGCCAGGAACACTCACGCAAACTCCTATATAAATGCACGTAAAATGACAGAGAAAAGGTTCCCTGATGCCTTAGAGAGGGATGGAACAGGAGGGTAACATCAAATTTCAGAGCTATGAAATTCTGCCTGTTAGAGCTGTTGTTAATTATTTAGGTGGGAGAATGGCATGGTATTTATGTTGGGGTGAAAAAAAAAAAAAATCTTTTTCTTACAGATATACATGCTGAAATATATTTGAATGAAATCAGATGGTATTTGGGATTTTCTTCAAAATAATTTGGGGGAACTTAAACTACAACAATAAACAAAATAATAATAATAATAATAACTTGGGGGAAGAGAGGAAGTGGGCTGGCATAAGGAGAAACAGCCTGGCCATGACTGATGATTGGTAAAGCTGTGTGCAGGGTCTACTATACTAGTCCATTTGCCCTGCTTTTGTTTTTATTTAAAAATTTTCCGCAATAAAGCTAAAAGCACAGTTTCTCTTCCACAGTTTAAGCTGCAGTTTACAAGTCAAGCACCCAGCCCAGCGGCGCGGGTGGTAGCAGTCATCAGTGGTAGTAGTATTCTATCCCAAGACAACCTCCAAGTTCTCTCAGCGACCTCCAGATACGAGGGACAGTACTTACGTGACAGGCCACCAAAGCTCCTGTATTCCAGCCAATCAAGATAATGGGTTTGTGCGGGAAATGGCTGTGAATCTTTGTGGGAAGAGAAAGAAGACAGTAAGACACAGGAGGCCAGAGGTGAGTGCAGAACAAGCCCAGGATGCTAGGTGGCGCCACAGTGAACTGAAATAGGGCATTCTCACCTCCAGCACTTTGCTTCTCACGGCCCCGATCATGTGCTCAAGACACTGTAGGACGCCGACCCCACTGCCGTTGTTCAGCAGATGGGTAGCTACAGGGATGACCTACAAGGAAAGAGGGCAGCATCCATGCCAAAAGAGACAAACTTCCAATCTTTTCCCAACCTGCTCACCCACCCCAGATCCCGTCAATCTCTGGTCAGCACCACCGGATTTCCAAACCAAAGAAGCGTTAAAGGATCCTCTACATTTAAATTCACCCATTTTGACCCCCTCCTGCATTTTCTTCTCAATCCTCCAAAACTACATCCCCACCCTGCCGGAACGCTCTTCCTCCAACACACACCTTGCCCAAGCAGGAGAGCTGAGACTGCCAGAAGCGGTGGCGGCGTGAGGTGGGGAACACGGAGCTGGAGGGGCCGGAGGAGGCAATGAGAATCAGAGGAGAGCCAGGGAGTTTGCTCTAAGGAGAAAGAATCCCACCCAAGAACCTGTGAGTGGCAGGTGTCCTTCCACAAAACTCCCAAGTACCCCAGTCCCCTTCTTATCCCAACCAACGCTCATCTGCTCACAAAACTACGTTAAGCGTTCTACAGAACAAGCGATCAGTCACGGGGCTGCTAACCAATGTCACAGAACAGCGTGTGCTAACTGTTTAATGAGAAACTATCGGTTCAGTAAGCCATCTAAAGTACACTTACAAAAAAAGAAAAACAAAAAACAAGC